CTGGCCGATTTTGGGCGTTTATAGCTTTAAACGCCGTTTAAAGACTTGATCTAACCTCACTGTGTAAAGAATTGTTGTTGTTGTCGGTCGACCGAAAATTAATAAAATAGAAATGGCACGTTCGAAGAAGTCTGCGAACATTTGATTGTTACTTATGTACTTTGTCTGTCCTGTCTGTAATTGTGTCGCCGATAAGCCAACTTCTCGGTACTTTGCGGTTTTATGTCACAGAATGCATGCAAATTTCTGCTAGAGATTTTAAGAGTTGCACACAACTACAACACATCCAATTGTACATGGGGTGAGTTCCGCGATAGAGCTGATGTTCTAGCGTTCTGGGTTTTGTGAGATTCCAGCCAAGATGTTTTACCCAGTAAAATCCTTCCTGACTCCTCCGCTTGCCTTGTTTATTCAATGAATTTTATAAGGATCTGAAAGAGCGTCCGCAGGACTTAATATTCTACTTGTTTAAGTAGCTTTTCAAATAGAAAATCTAATAAAAACGTGTATACCAGTCATAAGCCATACACGAATGCACAAACCGTGCATAAACAAAGCAAACTTTAAGATTTTTCGGGTAGTTCGAGCAGAAAAATTGGGTTTGATAAGGGATTATTGACGTCATGGACCCAAATGGTTCCTTGATAAGATGATTTTGCGATGAGAATCGTAATATTTCTCACTTTTGCAACGATGCCAGGGTTTCCAGTTTCTTAAACTGCGTTTCAATAAACGCAGTTTATGAAACGTTCCGAAGCGCTGGTGAAACCGGTCCGTCGTTAAACGCGTTTAATTTCGGCGTTTAACATAAACTTAGTTTCGTCAAACTGCGTTTCGCTTGTTTCTGATGAAAATGGGCCTAACTTTCGCCACGCACGCTGACAGCTTGACTTTGTCACTGACTGTCAGCTGACTGTTTTGACAAGTGAACGGTTTGATTTGAAAGACACGATTTTTTTTACATCGGTATGCACAATGAATAACTTCCGTCCGTTTTTGATTAAAATTCATATGGAAACGTCGAAGTTTTTTAATGATGTTCCAAAATGTGATCTTCCCAATTAGTGCATTTTTCACAATTTCTGAAAATTTCACCTATCTACTAAACAGTTATTGGAAATTATAAATACCGTCATGCAGCATCATGCAGTAAGTAAATGTTTATTTTAATACCGCAGAAGCTTAATTTCTTTAACGAAATGACAGTTATTGGAATGTCTAGTTCACTGCTTTCAGTTTTAACACTGTCTAACCCAATCTCTGTGCTTAACCTTAATAATTTGATTAATTTTACGGTGCTCTCTGTATTATTTACCTTTTTTGTAGGATTTTGGGTACTGTTTGAGCATTTCTGCTTAATTGTTACAATGGAGGAAATTCTAGAAGCCGCAGCCATAGGCGGAGCAAGTGACAATTCAATTGAATATTTAATTTTGGACAACATATTCATAAATAGGGGTGATTATGAGAACCAGGAAAGAAAATATTTTTCTTTAGAACAAATGACCGACGAAGACAAAACTTATCATTAAAAAGCATTTTCCTCTTAAAATGGCAACATGTTTTTGGATTATTTTCCATCCCTGGAGATAATTGGATTAACGTTTAAATATTCCTTTCATAAGGTGGCATCATTCTCGTAAATGAACCTTAACCGGAAATTCTTGATTTCGCTCATTTTGAAAAAGTCATTTGATGAAGAAAAAACATGTATTTAAAACTGGGTTATATAATGCCATAACCTGTAAGCGGACATTAGAAATGTCAACTGCCAGTATAAGGTAGAAATAAAGCGTACAGTAGAGCGTTAATAAGGACATGCAGTAATAGATTTAGTGGTACTTTGACACATACGCCTGCGCAATTGAGTCTAAAATGAAGGGATTCCTGAATAAAAATACTATTATGTGCGTAAACTTCGAGTTGAAATTTCTAACGTCCGCTTGCAGGTTATTTGATTGTATCCATAACCTAGTTTATATTTCCATACTAATTCGAACCTGAAAAGGGTTTTCTAAAATTCCCTGCAAAGCGTTGTATGGCGAATTTTGTAATTTTTGGCTGAAAAGACGCCATGATTGTCAGGAGAAAAGAAAATCATCAGAAAATAATGGGTTTTTGCGCTTTTGTCGCAGATTGTCAGTATTTTTAAGTGAAACTCTTCAAAATAGAGCGTTTTTGAGTAGAAAGTAAAGCCGAAGTTAAAAATACACAAAAATCTCTACAGCCTTGAGTAGGATGAGTTTTCCAAATAATGTATTAGAAACTTTCGCTTTTCTGTTCGTTTTTTGATAAAAATTATTTGATTTTTGTCCCAAATTCGAAACCGGAAAAGGATTTCAAAACTTTTTACAAACCTACGAAGGAGGCAAGTGTTCTAATAAAATGTATTTTATAATTTCTCGCAAGAAATACCTTAAGAAGAGTTTAGAAGAAATAGTAACTTTGCTAACATAGAATATTCTGAAATTTTGAAGAAATTTAAAAATATAATTAATAAATGGCAGTTAAAATAAATCTCAAAACAACTAAAAGAAAAGGTTATCAACATTACCCCAGCAACGGAACCGAGTTACTGCGCCGGTGCGTTGGGTTGACGCACCAAGCGTTTTGCGCTACACTGCGCCAAGTCCTAAAAATTAACTGAGTTACCTAGGCCTACATCAAACACCGCTGGCCCATTGAAGTGATCAGTTATATAAACTTTTATTTAGGGGAAAGTGCAAAGTGAGCTTATTATTGGGTGCGACGGCAAAAGCAAGTTACAGTCGCCCCCTCCGGTTCTTATAAACGGGTAATTAAAAGTCAATTAAAACGGGGGACGCGATATTGGGCCCGACATTGAAAAAGACGATTATTTCTTTTCAGAAGTGCCTAAATTAGTCTATAGGCTGTTTAACGGTCCTAAAAGCACGAATTTATAACAGAGGGTTTTAAGGGCTTTTCAGGCCGCTCAAGTACAAGCAGATTGGGATTCTTAAAATGATTTTCGGCTATTTGAAATGATTTGCCGAGTTAACGGGCGAAACAAATTCGGATCTGTCGGGCGGAGGCAAACAGTTGAACGCAAACAAAAAGTTCGGGCAAATAAATTAGCAACCATATCCGCCTAACTGAATTATTCTCAATTTTACTCTCACTCTTATACGCGACCGGGGGAACCCTGTTAACCGAAAGTTTCACTTATTTGGCCCAAAGTTTCCCACACTCATTTACACCTTCCGCTAATGCCATAAATAAATCCCTGCTGTCGACTTTTGAATTGGTTTTGCTTTTGAGTTTCATCCGGGATTTGTGTCTTTGGTTGGTGGATTTTTTAAAGCGCGTGGGAAAAAACTTTTCGCTTCTTCATGCAATGCAGATAAAAAAAAATATTTTTATTTTTTAATAAAACAAATGATTTTTGAAGGAACTTGATTTTTTAGCTTTGCGGATGGAGGTCTCAATATTAGCAAAAATTGATCTCAAAATTGATGATTTCACTCATCTGCGCGTTATCCTTTAAACATCCGCATCTTCCAATCTAAAGCCAGTAATAATTTGAAAGACAGTTTCTACTTGCAATTCGAAAAGTTTGCCCGCACAGACACTTTGTAAACAGTTCTGAAAACATGCAAGCATTTGTCGGGACATCCTGTTTAAACCATACAGTTTAATGTTGGGAATTTGAGCGTGAACTATGCATTTGACCACCCTTTGTATGTTGCAGGTTGCGGGTGGAAAAAGCGGGCGGCGGCTGGTGTCCAAAGTTGCAGATCGAAAAAGGCGTCCGCGAGTTTATTGAGATCAATTTGGGCGTCGTTCATGTTGTGACGGGCGTCCAGACGCAAGGACGGTACGATCGAGGACGCGGACAGGAGTATGTTGAAGAGTACCTGTTAGAGTACTGGCGGCCAGGATTGCTTGAATGGAGGGAATACAAGCGATGGGATGGAAAGAGGGTGAGTATTTATATTTTTCTAAAATGGCCTGATTTTGCTGAAGTCTGTGGATTTGCAGGCCGGGTAGAGTAGAGTTTACCTATTTGAAGCCATAGCTGCTCTGGTGTTCGTTTTTTAATAAACTTTTCAATCAAGTGTGATTCCATAACTTTTTTAATCGTCCTATGATGCTTAAAAATCCAAATTTGCAGAAAAACACAGTAGAGAGTTGCCTATTTGGGGCCCAAAACTTCAAGCTCTAGCTGCTTTTGTGTCCAAAATTTAAGTTTAAATTTTTTCTAATATCGACCGATTGCCTCAAATCAGAAAATCGACAACTTTGGTTCATTTTAAGCATTTTTGAGCGGTCCCGATATTTTCCTTATCATTAGGCCGGAAAAAACCATTGGGGTCAAAAAACATGCAAATGAAATTTCGCATTTTGACCGCAATTTTCTTAAGTGTTCGGTGCTCTCGAAAAATAAAAAGTTTCTCCAATTGTCTCGAATTTTACATCATTTCAATCTTAAGGAAACCAGGAATGCAACGAGTTTATTGAAAAATAAGCCTAACACTTTCAGGTCCGAAAAAATCGACACTTTCGGTTCATCATAAGCCATTTTTAAGCGGTAACGATTTTTATCCGACGATATTTTCCTTGCTAAAGACTCGAACGCCTCAAATATGCATATCGGAGTGGTTCTCAGGACGTCGTGGATAGGAAATTGATCGCAACGTTTCGCTGGCAGGCGTGACTACCGTCTTCAGAGGTGTGTTTGCTTTGACGGCTAACAAAACAGATCGGCCTGCGTTAATTAGGTATAGGTACACAGGGGCCCGGAGCTATGAAAATATCCCGCAAACATTAACGTTTTTTAAAGGCGATTTGCTTTCAACGCTGTCACAAGTAACTTTTCATAATTATCAGCGGAACATTAACCAAATAAAACCACGACATTTTCTCCACGGGCTACGTTTTCAGGAGGTAACACTACATATATTTTGTTCGTCTTAGTTTGCAAAATTAATTGATTTTTATTTAACTTGGAAGTTTAAAATTGACCGCTAAACCAATAAAAATATTATCGATCACTAAATTTCATTAAATTACCGGTATTGAGCTGCAAAGCAACACCGCTGCCTGACACGCCCAAATTGAAAGCGCAGCTTGCTTGCATCAGGCTTGGCAACCATGCAAGAGAATTGAAAGACGTCACGCAGATTGACGCACGATTTTATCCAGAGACCAGTACTTGTCTCTGTTTTATCATAAATTCTTTGTACCCTAACATAAAATTCAATGAAAAAAAGCAAAAATCTGCACTCACCCTTACGGCTCAGCCAAAGAAGACTGCATAATTCAAAACAACATGGAGTTCGCACGTCTAGTCAATGCCCCCAATCAATTTGACGCTAAACGTCACAGTTCGAATGGAAAATCGGTTTTCCCTGCTGACCAAGATTTTCACGCAAAACGACCGAAGGCACTATTATGGTTGAGTTACAGTCACTGTTCGGGTTGATGTCGCGAAACAACCGGCTTTTGGAGAATATTTTGAAGCCGCAAATCGCGCAGCTCGTAATCAGCGACCGGCGACGGCGAAAAGCGTTTGAGTTGCGCTGCGACGTACAGCGCATGGGCGCGTGATTCAAACCTAGAAATCGTGAGTCGAGTGTTTAGGCGTAGTTTCACTCAGCGCTTCGCAATTAACCAGTTTTTGAGGCGTTTTATTGATTTTATATTCCGGGCGTTTTTTGGAGTGAAGCTCAAAGGAAGGGCAAGGAGTGACTGACGGTTGTTGTTTGTTCAAATACCTTCAGATGCGAAATAATCGAAAATTAATCAATTTACAATTATTTTGAATGGTGAATCTTTAACCGTGGGTATCATCCTTGTTATACAGGGATGCATGTATGCAAAACCGTCAATTATTTTCTAAACTAAAATAGCTAGAATAAAACGATTGATACGGAAATGTAAAGTTATTTTCGCATCAAGAAAAATATAATATACAGGATCAGTCAAAAAGTCACAGCAACCCACTGTTCCCATTTTTCTAATGGAACACTCCGTATGTTATTCAATCATTGAATTCTGGTCTACGCTCTACCACCTATTAAATCAAATATAAAAACACTGTTCATCAAGTTATCTGGGCCATTTAGTACACTATAACAACGCCGAGTCATTCTTTTGTTCTAAACAGACTTTAATTGACGCGAATGTCAAAAATTCGTTTTATGTGAATTATTTGAGTTTTAAAATAAGAGCTTTAAAACGTTCAAGTGGAACTGAGCGTGTTAAAATATGGAATTTCAGACCCGAAGCACTTTTTTTACAAACATTTGTTAAAAAATAATAAATTGAAATTAATTTAAAAAAATTATACCGAAGTACTTTCTTGAGAAATTGATTGGTCGCAAGGGACTATTGAATGGCCTGCTCGGTGTCCCGATTTGAACCTATTTGACTTTATTTTATGGGGTCATATTAAAAAGGCAGTTTACAAAAATAAGTCACAAAATATTGAAAAGTTGCAATATAAAAGGTGACTTTTTTTATATGACCAGTACAGGGATCTTTGGAACTAGAGCAGTTACGGCGAAGGTCAAATGGACAAAGAATTGTAGCAATTTTATTTTTCTAAAATTTTACAGTTGTTAATAGATATTTAGAAAAAACTTATTTATGATAAATTGTTAAATTACTCCTAGTTCCGTTGATTTTAATTTGACAGGAAAACATTAAATAAAATACTTTCAGTTTACAGTTATTTTGAAGAAACGTCTTATGTCATTTTGTTTGGAATTCAATTTCCTACAAGTTTTGCATTTAATGTTTTTCTGTCAAATTAATGGAGAGTTTTTAGGCCCATAAAATTACGTTGGCCTTAAACACTCATCGTTATTGTGATCATGCGCAGTGTTAAAAAAATAAGATGTTTAGGCAAATAACGTTAAGTGCGGTTTTCAGTTTTTGATACCGCGTTTGTTGCACTCTTAAAGAAATAAACCTCACTATATTGTTTTCTTATCCTGTTTTGTTTGGAAAAGTTTCAAAGCTAGTTTAAGTTTGTATTGTTATTAAACAAAAAGTGGTTAAGATGGAAGAAAACATTGAGGCTGCCGTTCTGTATCGGAATGACCAGGGAGATGTAGATCACGATTTAATGAGGGGCTTAATTTTACACATTTTGGACCCACCTGTTGTTGCAAAACCGAAGAGCTATTTTTAATTTAGAAATGTACACGACATTTTTGACCCACCTCTGTTGCAAACCGAAGAGCTGTTCTTAATTTAGAAAATATTGAGCCCAGACATCGCTTTATCAATTTTAGGTTTCAGAAGGAATATATTCCGAACATATTAAATAAAAATTCAAAATCAAATAGTTAGGTTATGGGTTATACGTTAGAACCTGTGCTTGCGGTGTTAGTAGTGTTGCCTAAGTTCAAATTTGCCCAAACAATTTTCACATAAAATCCGTAATTACGCAATAATGGCGCAAACTAATCAATAAAAAATATTTTTTAAATTTACAAATATTTCTTATTCTATTATAGCCGCTTATTTTATTAATAATATCAGAAATAAGTCAAATATGTCAACAACGTCGTTCTGCTTTTTAGCGTGATGCTTATTAACGTTACAGCTACTCGTACGTAAATAAAGGAACACGTTATCCTCTAATAACGTAAACGTCCTTACTAATGTGCATGCTCAGAATAACGGATAACGTAAAACGTGTTGCAATTAAGGGACCTAAAAACTCCCTAATATCAATAGAACTCGGAGTAATTTAAAAAAATATCATAAATAAGTTTTTCCCAAATACCTCGACAGATACCAAATTTTATAAAGGTAAAATTGGTTTCAAGTAGAACATTCAAAACTACAATTCATTGTCCATTTGACCTTCTTCGTAACTGCTCTATCCCTGTACCTAATAGTCATCGAAAAAACTCAACTCAAAAATAAGTCACGATTTTACAGGTATTCCTCCGAATTTACTCTAAATTTTTTAGCAAATTTTGTTGAGCGCCTCCAATACTGTCAAGAAGTAAACGGCGCACACTTTGAACGCTTTTGGGAATCTATAAAAATATCTTGAATATTAATTATGTCCACCAAGTTTGTGCAAAATTTAAAATAATAAATCTAATAATTTAGCAAATCACAGCAAAAAATATTTTAACAACTCGATATTTCAAAACGGTTAAATTGAAGCATGTAATGTGTTATACGATTTTAGTTTAGAATATCCTGAAGACATCACGCATAGGCTAACATCCAGGGTGTTGTAATCTAAAAAAAAGGAACTTCGCTTTGCCGCAGCTTTTTGACTAATCCGGTTCGCGAAGTTTTGCCTTATGTAAATAGACTGTAAGGAACCTTTCAATTATTGTATTAATCATTGTGTTCTAGCTCTCGTAGTTTGGGAAATAATCCATAGTTTCCATACATAAAAACGGCGCTGTATGTATACTCAAACATCCTGTATATAAAAAGTTGATATTTGGCTCAAACTCTAAATAGCTTTAAAATGTCCCAACACCCAACACATAAACCAAGTTCCCAGACATTTTCCTCAAAAAATCATCCGACTTGGTATAAAGGTGTCCACGAACGCAGGTACTTGCACGACGTTGATGAACAAAATATACAGTGTGCAAAATGCTCGCGTGTCTGGCAAATGATTTTTTGCAAAATTTCAATTTTTTTAATTTTGAATTCCAGTTCAACGAGCCGAAGTCGGGAACTGTAAACCTTTTAATAGCTGAAGGCCTTGTTTTGGCTGATATTTAGTTGGCAGCCGGGATTTAAAATGAGCGCGCGGCCTTTCAATGCTTATAAACGCTTTATACAAGTGGAAATCCACAGTCTACGGCTTTGGAGGAGATGAACGTCGACCATTTATTATTACTATTCAGGGCATCAAGTGTTTGCTTGGCAGCTAAACTGCATGCATGCACGCTCAAAGCAGCCAACGTCAGTGAAACTGCAAAATCCAAGCGGTTATTACCCGAAAGATAGTCCACGTATTCACTTTGCATCTCTCAAGGGTGGAACGTGACGTGTCGTTTAAAATTTGCCATTTGCCTCCTCCATTTCACCTGTGTGAATAATACCGTTCACGTTTGGCGACATCCATGAAATGTTACGCCTTCTGATAAATTTTTACCATTCGCCTACTATTTGTCTTCGCACATTTCGGGACCATTTGTTTCCTTTATTTATATCTGTATATATATAGATATATAGATACATACCTACATATCCCCAATGCCAGGCAGATGGATATTAATTGCCGGCATAGAAGAGCGCTGTAGTGGATTCCAAAAAGAGGGGCTTTAGCGTTGATTTCCTGCTCTCATGGGTGAAGATCTTGATAGAAAAGCTGCTGCACATTTACACACTAAATTTGATTGGACTTGGATTGATAAACTCCGTAAATAATGTGCTTTTAAGAATTGGGGATATAAAAATGACAACAAAGTCAGCGTTGCCACATTCCCTTTGCATTCGTTGATTCAAGTGCAGATTTCGCGGTCGCTGATTTCAGGCTGAACCCCGCCGAAGAGAGCTGATAGGCTCCAACTTAAATTGCAAAGAAAAAGGCTCGAATTCAACATTGCAATTCTTTGTCCAGTTAACCCTTTTCGCATCTGCGGTCCTTTCGACGATCCCTGTTCCAAACATCGGGAAAATATCACCCTGGAGATACAGGGTGTTCCGTAAATATGTTAAAATATTTTAACAGCGTGTTCTCCTAGTCATTTTAGAAGGGGGTCTTCCTGAGAATTTTTTAAATTTGAGGTCTCATTTTTGAGATATTTAATCTCCAAAATTGCGAAAAATATTAGTTTTTGTTGTTTTTCTTTAAAACGGTTAAATATAGAAATTTCAATGTTGGTATACATTATAAGCTAATTGAGTGCAATTGTATCGTAGTGTTTTGCAGTTCAGTTTACCTTCATACAGGGTAGAAATGTGGAACCCCTACTTTTATTTTGTTCAGAACTTTTTTGTGTGCACGTAAACTTTTATCAGCATATTTTTTTTAATTACTACAAGTTATTGATCAACTTTTTGATCCCTTATTGTTTTTTTCTAGGGGCACTAGTTTGCCGGCAAAAAAATTAAATCGTTTTGGATTGATCAAAACTTTCCAAGTCGTTGAATTGGAAGAGGTCAAGAAGCTCCTATAAACTCGCCTCCCAGATCTCCGAAACTAAACGCCCTTGATTTTTCCTTCTGAGGCAATTTACAAAATACGGTGTATTCAACAGAAGTGAATACAATCGAGGAACTTCAGGAAAAAATATTTAATATTTCTAACGAAATAAGAACTTCAGTGCAAACTTTACGGTCTGTAAATGTTTGATTTGTAGGGTTGGCCGATTAAAATAATAACCTTTCCTTATTTCACTATATTTTCAGCATTTTATTAATTTACGAGAGACTACTAAAAATCACTAACATCCAAAAACACATCAAAAATCTTAAGATGGCTGACACCTAACCCCAAAACGTCTAAACTCCTCAAAATGGGCTCGACCATGTTGCCAGTGCAAGCCCACCTGGTCAACCACGCGGTTGCCATACCAAACTCCTACA